ATAATAGTTGTAGTTGTGTTATCACTGTGGGCTGTTCTACGATATAATAGTTGTAGTTGTGTTATCACTGTGGGCTGTTCTACGACATAATGGTTGTAGTTGTATTATCACTATGGGCTGTTCTACGATATAATGGTTGTAGTTGTATTATCACTGTGGGCTGTTCTACGATATAATGGTTGTAGTTGTATTATCACTGTGGGCTGTTCTATGATATAATAGTTGTAGTTGTATTATCACTGTGGGCTGTTCTACGATATAATGGTTGTAGTTGTATTATCACTGTGGGCTGTTCTATGATATAATAGTTGTAGTTGTGTTATCACTGTGGTCTGTTCTACGATATAATGGTTGTAGTTGTATTATCACTGGTCTGTTCTACGATATAATGGTTGTAGTTGTGTTATCACTGTGGGCTGTTCTACGATATAATAGTTGTATTTGTATTATCACTGTGGACTGTTCTACAATATAATGGTTGTAGTTGTTTTATCACTGTGGGCTGTTCTACGACATAATGGTTGTAGTTGTATTATCACTGTGGGCTGTTCTACGACATAATGGTTGTAGTTGTATTATCACTGTGGGCTGTTCTACGATATAATGGTTGTAGTTGTATTATCACTCTGGGCTGTTCTACGATATAATGGGTTGTAGTTGTGTTATCACTGTGGGCTGTTCTACGACATAATGGTTGTAGTTGTGTTATCACTGCGGTCTGTTCTTCGACATAATGGTTGTAGTTGTGTTATCACTGTGGGCTGTTCTACATTATAATGGTTGTAGTTGTATTATCAGTGTGGGCTGTTCTACGATATAATGGTTGTAGTTGTATTATCAGTGTGGGCTGTTCTACGATATAATGGTTGTAGTTGTGTTATCACTGTGGGCTGTTCTACAATATGATGGTTGTAGTTGTTTTATCACTGTGGGCTGTTGTACGATATAATAGTAAAACCGATATTGTTAATGTAACAACAAATCAACGTTGTAGTCAGACTTTACTTGGGGGACACAAACATCAGCTTCCCTCCTGAATCATCGTGTAGAAATAAATATATTTGGAAATTATAACCTTGTTGTCCAAGCACACTTATTGACCAAAGAAAATCCATGAAACCACCCTTACTAACCCATGTAACTTCAGGAGCAAGTTGCACCTTGTAAAAAATTAAGACATTTGTTAGAGTTTACACCTTGTCGTGTCATCAGAAGTAACTTTCCCACACCAAAAAACCAATGTTTTTGAAGAGACAATATAATGAATAGAAATCATAATGCCTTAACCAATCATGTTAATTTAACAATATTTAATATCATTATATGAAAACAATATGGTAACCTTAGTGTGTGTGTGTGTGTGTAGTAAAAACTTACCATCTGTTTCATTTAACTGTCTCCTGTAACAAACACATATCGTTGGCTTCAGGGATAATAACAAATATTCCGTTGATGTTTACAAAACTTTTTAGTTCATTTTAGGTTTCATGATTAATGTTATGTAAACAAGTTTCATAAACGAAGAACGGTTTTGGAAGTCGTTTATGACCTGCGTCATAAGTCGGTAACAAGTAGTTTAGTTCAAGTTTCTAAAAGCTGTCAAAATCTTTTGGTGAATCAATAACAGCTATTTTATTAACACCTGTTGAAAAATAAACAAATGTTAAGCTTATTAAATCCCTGTGTATTTCTACATTTTAGCTTTTAAACAGTGAAATGGAAGGTGTTCAGAATAATCGGAGGTCGCACGACGTGTTAATTCAACAGCTGCTCAAAGCAGAATCTCCAGAAAAGGTAAACCTTTAATAACCTATTAAGATGTATTAATTACCTTAATAATACGATAAATGCTAACCCCTACGAGTACAAGGATGTTTATTCCGAGGGAGACAAAAGTTAGGTGCCCCTACGTATAAATAATCAGGCTCGTTACGTGTTCGATTACACTAAAGTACATTAAATACACACATAGAGGATGGCTATTTAGTTCTGTGTTGACAGTATTGCAGAAACAAAATCTACCATATTGATATACTAACTTTTGCATTGTAAGGCATCTGTTAACATGAAACAGTACTTTTTTATATATTAGTTTGATTTTAGAAACTATTACTACTATATATATCCAACTTTTAGGAATCTTAACTTATTTGTTTAGTTAACAGGTAGACATTTTCAAACTGTCTTTGATTAACAACATTATTCTAACGCTAAGCCCATGTAAAGTGTTAAACAGTACCCGTTTTTATTTTAATAGAATGAGAACAGCGTGAGTGCAGATACGAACTCTCAGTCCAGTTCTACTGACCAGCTCTTCAAGGACTTGGGCCTTAACTCCAACCAGCCTAATACGTTGCCTCTTCCCACCTCACTTGGTGCAGTTTTTGGTTCTATATTGAAGCGAAAATCTGATGAAAACGTAGACCCACCAACAAAACGACCAGCTGTTCAACATGTAAGTTAATGCAAAAGTCTTAGTTTCAGAACTTACCTGGTAAGTGAACTAACAAACTTATTGTATACTTGTTGCCATACTCTTTGAATACTCTAGTGTATCATAATACTTCAGATTGGGGGGGGGGCAGACTAGTAGAGTGAGGAATTAATCCTATATTCATTGTCTTACTTCGTGAATTGAAAACTTGCAAGGGGAGGAACAGAACAATAAACTAAGGAAATATTCATTTGGTAATTGACATATTTCTTGAATATGATGAACCGATTTCATTTTGTGTATTATGTTTTTTTTGTCAAGTTTGTTAAGGTTTGTTGGATAAATTGTTTTGTTGTACTTTCACTAAGTGTTTTCTTAGGCTAATCTTCAGTACGTTATTGCAGATATGTTGAACTGATGATTAAAAAAAAGGCCAGATGGTTAATTTCTTTACTGAAGCATGAAATTTACAGTATTATTTATGCCTGTTACTCACATATTTTTCTGTTCCTACCTTTACAGCCACATCTGGCTGGCCAGAATCCTATGTTGGCTTCCATGCTGGCTCAGACACCTAAAACAGAGCCATCTGTCCCCACCACAATCGCAAACTCAATCATGTCCCAGTTACCTCAGGACCGGCTGCCTAAAAACCTCGAAAAGAAACTCATTCAGACTCCGTGTACTATCATTACATCTGTTTCCTCCAACAACTCGACACATGCCACCTCTACAAACATCTCTCACCTTCATCAGGATGTGATCACGGCAGATTCCCGAGGACACGTCACTCTCGGTCGACACTCTGCAACCACCCTAAATATCCCCCAAGGACAGACCACTCTGTCTCCCCAGAATGGATCCCTGCCTCACCACCACCAGGGTTTACTTAGTCGTGTACTGACCAATACTGATAGTTCTCCGTTAACAAGAACTTTGGCTGTAGCTTCTGCAAATGCTGCCAGTTTAAACCGGTCCAGCCAGAGTACGTACAGCAACTTTCAACCACGCAGTCAGCTTGCCCAACAACCTGCCAAATCTCTGACCCTTGCGGATTTACTCGGAGATGTTAGTTCTTTCGATTCTGTAGTTGGGTTGACGGCTCAGAGCCAGACGTCAGATCCCATGTTATCACAGATACTGGACGAGGTGTGTGTCAGTCCTCGGGTAATGTCTGTTACTGACTATCTTAATGTAACCTTTTCCTTTATAAGTATTAATATATGTGTGTGTGTGTATATATATATATATATATCAGTTATAACTTTGCATAAGGGGCACTATACTAAATTTAATTAAACTGTAGTCCCAGTTCTAATTTACCTGTCTTTAGTTATCCATGTTGTAAGTAAATGCATTCATATTTAATTTCTGATTGGAAGTCTTGTTTGGATGGCTAAAAGTATACAAAGATGATATATATATGCTAATTTTTATTTTGTTTCAGAGGTTAATGAGGGGTTTATATGTATATAAAATTGTATTTTCTTCAATTAACTTGCCAGAGGTTAAACTTTGAAACCTGTTGAATGTCAAATTCAAAAAAATCTCCTTCCCATCCCACAGATCACACACAAAAAATGGAATTAGATTGTAGGATTTAGGTTGTGCTTTTATTTGTCGGTGAACACAATCAATCCAATACCATTTGTGACTAAACTTTGTCAGAGTACCTCATTGCATGTGTGTGGATGTACATATGCTCAATCGTGTGTTTTATGGTTTTTAACTTTTAGTCACTGCCATTTCACAGTGCAGCATGTAGAATACCCCCCCATTCACAAGATTTCATAACCTGGCTCCTATTGTAAACAAAACTAATGTTTTTAATGTGTGTGTGGATACGTATATCGGTGTATGTTGGTCTTCGTTTGGGAAACGTGTTTAATTATTCAGGTTCTATATTTTCACAGTTCGAAATGTTTGGGAACTTTTGTGGCTCTTTAGAAGTCTAGAATAGATGATGTGAGAAACAAACAAATTACTTGTCCAAATGGTAAAACTTGTTTTCGCAGGTGTTCTACAATATGAATTCCACACCTGTGCATTTAAACATTAAAAATATGTGTCACACCTGTACAGTGATGTGCAGTTATTAGGTTTTCTTTCAAGGAATGTTTCAGGTTCGATTCACCTTTTTCTACGTCAAAAATATTTGTTGTTTTACATTAACAGTTTTTGTTGTGTGAAGAAGTGAAATCCTAATTGTAAATAAACTATTGCCTGTGAACTGTTGCCTATAAACTATTGCCTGTGAACTGTTGCCTATAAACTATTGCCTGTGAACTGTTGCCTATAAACTATTGCCTGTGAACTGTTGCCTATAAACTATTGCTGTGAACTGTTGCCTATAAACTATTGCCTGTGAACTTGTTGCCTATAAACTATTGCCTGTGAACTGTTGCCTATAAACTATTGCTTGTGAACTGTTCCCTATGCAAAACTTTTAGAACTATGTAGATTAGTTCTGTGTTTGAATCAAAATTTCAAATGGACAACAACTGCCTGTTGTAGAAAACTACAAATGTAGAGGATGATGTTTTGTAACGTCTAAACTCTGCCTAAACAACCTATCAATGTTCTATGTTTATTTATTATTTATGAAATATTGTTCAATTAGTTTTGAACAAGTAGGTGATTGTGACCGTTGAGTCCTTTAGGACCACTGTGTGGCCTTTAGCTCAAAAACAGTGTTTCTTACAAATTTATCAACATGTTGCTATTGTTAAATTTATAACTTTAGTTGTAAGAATGAAAAATTCAACTTTGTATAGGTTTGGAGCATGCAGCAAGAAATGGAACCTTCTGTGCTGGATGATAATATCATACTAAAAATACTGGATGAAGTCTTTGAACAACCAACAGGATCTTCTAGTTTGGGAAGTTTGCCTTCCAACAATCGGCCAGTTCAAGATGTGCACGAAAAACTTGCCATCAATGCTATTCAACAACAGTTGATGAGTTACGAGACCTCGAATAGCCGTGGGACGGTCACTTCCCATTCTACGCAGCCTTCCTTTCACACTCAAGCTTCTAGTACGGCTCTCGGAGCCATTCCGTCGAACTCTGTTAATTATCCTTCTGTATCTTCTTTGTCGACTCCCTCTACTGGTTATAGAGTGCGGCTCCAGAATCCTGGTCTTCTGGCCAGCGTTCAGCAAGGTGTGACTCTGGGAAACTACCAAAGGCCTGTAGGTGTCCAACAACCGAATTCTGCAAACCTGACACCAGAGGTAATGATATCTGAGCATATTACTTATCAAAAAGCAGAAGAATATCATTTAATAAAGAAAGATGTGACCAATTACTACAGAATACAAATTTGAAGGGTATTTCTCCATTATCTTTCTTTGTGCTGTGAAATTACTGAACCAAACTGTTCGAAACTTTTCTACAAACTTTCTAAAATATTGTTTAATTTCAGCAAAGAGTTTTAAATTTTTTTTATTTTTTTTGGTTAAATACAATTATGATGATAATAAAATATTTCTTTTCGTCATAGATTAAAACAATAAAGGAATACTTCCTTTCATCATAGATGTTCTATTATTATATTTTATTAGTGACCAGAATGTTCCATATCCAAACAGTTGCAAGTCATTTGATGTCCACCAGTATATAAAATTTCTTTTAATACTTTATTTTGCTGTTTGAAGTAGTGAACTTCACACCATAAACAATACAAACAGTATGACAGACACATTTATTGGTGAACGATGCCCTAACTCATCGCCATGGTGACACCATTACCTTTGGTAGTGTCATATTTCTAAGAAAATATTTTTGGTTGAGATCAATCTGTTACTTATTCTTTGCTTTCAGTAAGTTCTAGTATTTATTGTTTGAATGTAATAGGCTTGACAGTATATACCGTAAAATCTATCTGAATAGTTTGCTGTCACAGGCTTTAAATTACTGTACTCGTTAACCCTAAATATCATTCATTACCTGATGTTTTTTCATAGAATATTCCAGTAGCTTGCCAATGGATGTAATATAACATATAAATATTAGGACTAAAAGGATCATAAGAAACCATAAAAAAGAAACGTTAATTAAGTGGGAATTATTTCAAAACTTTGTCTTGAAATTGCATCATTACCCTTGACTGAAACTGACCTCTATTTTACAGAGGTGATATTAACTTGAATACACAGACTGTTGTAGTTTAGATTATAAATGGGACAGAAAGGTTGAAGATTGATTTTTTTATATTTATTACCTAATAATAAAATATTCATGAACTCTGTAAGATTTTTAACTGAGAAAAAAATTGTTAAATAAGATTACATTTTGGAAGTTGGTTTGTGAGCATGCATCGAAGTGATGTGGACATCCACCAGTAAAGAAAGAATAGTTACCTCTGTGAAATATATTCTTGTTTCTTATGAATAAGTGATTAGTTTGTTTGAAGATATCTTTACTTAGAGATTCAGTTGGCAATTTTCTAACATAGAAATTAATTACAAGCCAACTTGCGTGTTAAAAAATTTTGAACAACTGGATAAAAATTATTGCTATTCAGTTTAGAAGAAGCAGTATGCCTGTCTTAAAAAAACTTTTTCTGTGCTGTCTGAAATGTATTACTGAGTTTTGGATGTTTTACTGTGTTGAATCAGGTGTATCACAGGCTTCTCGAACGTCGACAGAAGATGCTTCAGCACCAGAAACGGTCGAGAATGCAACACCAGCAGGTTGTTCAAGTTCCACAGACGGTTACGGAATCCCTGAACTCATCACCTTCTCCAGTATTTACCGATAACATGAACGATCTGTTGAACAACACCGTGGCTCCTCCCAACGTCACACTCCAGGTATTAGATGCTCGGCAGTGGCTGGTGTGTATAAAACTACAGAGTGATTGTGAAAGAAAAAATAAACCAGTGTGATAACATCAAAGTTTTGTAATGTCACTTATGAAAAGTAAAATCTCTGAAGCAGCTAGCAGTGCTCAGTTTCCTACAGCTTTTGAAAAGTTTTATGACTTGCTTATCCTCTGTTGAATTGTTCTTCACTATTTTACTTCAAACAAAATAAACTTTAAATAACATATTTACATTGAAAAGCTAATGTTAGATAGGCCTTAAATGTTATTTATTTTTATACAGCAGTAGCTGTAAGATTGATGTAGTGACTGTTGTTATATAGCAGCTGTAAGATTGATGTAGTGACTGTTGTTATATAGCAGCTGTAAGATTGATGTAGTGACTGTTGTTATATAGCAGCTGTAAGATTGATGTAGTGACTGTTGTTATATAGTAGCTGTAAGATTGATGTAGTGACTGTTGTTATATTGATGTAGTGACTGTTGTTATATAGCAGCTGTAAGATTGATGTAGTGACTGTTGTTATATAGTAGCTTCAGTCACTACATCAATCTTACTCTTACAGCTACTATATAACAATTGATGTGACTGTTGTTATATAGTAGCTGTATGATTGATGTAGTGTACATTGTTATACAGTAGCTGTAAGATTGATGTAGTGACTGCTGTTTTTATATGTATAAGTGTGCGAGTGTTCTTGTTTGAAATCTATTTTAACTTTCCAGTGTTTCAGTGGGGTCCCAGATCAACAAGTATCACCGAGATACAATGCTACTTTAATAAGTCAAAACAATCCTTCACAACTGTCTCCGGGTCAGCGAACTGGTCAGCGGTCTCCTTACTCCCCACTTTCTCAACAGTCATTTTCCAGTGTTAGTCCACCTGTCACCAGCAGTTACCCCCATCCGAGACTTCCTTCCTACTCCCCTTCATCTCCTATACCAGTTGCAGGAGAAGGACCTCAGTCCCCTCATCTTCAAGCACTTTCCCCACAACCCCAGTGGAATCAAAGCACAGCCACGACAGGTTCTGTCCAACAACAGAACCCAATGTTGAATGCTCAGCTGTCACAGGTTAGAATTGGTGCTTCGATTCTGCATTTATTGTTGAACACTTTCTTAACCCCCCTACTTATATTGATGAAAGTTTTTATGATCTGTTAATATGTTTCTGCACAAAGTGTACTCAATAAATGAATGCTAAATATCTGAATTAATACCTGATATGTGTTATTTCAATGAAACTACAGTAACATAATAGGAATACTTTTCTCCAGTGTTTATGATACACTATTCAGAATAAATCTGATAGAGATTACCAATGCCATCTGGTGAGCACTGACTGTAATACATGATAAAATGCGATTAAGTTTGGGCAAATAATTTCAAATATGATGAGAAATAGTTTGAATTAAAGTTGTAGCTTCAGACAAAAAGAACATAATGGTTATTTACTCCACATTGTCTTTCAGTTCTATAATATTAAGGATTATTTATATTGGTACGATATGTTCATTTAATAAATATTTTGATGTGTTTCTTTATAGAGTTCATTTGCCAGTCAAGGCAGGTTTGTTACGAAGGCACAACGACAGGTACCAGTAAGATCCATGCATAGCCCAAACTCTGTCACCAGTCAGAGAAACACACTTTTTCCTGGCCAATCAGATGGTCAGTTTCGGTCACAATCGCCTGGTCACCTTTACCAACAGGCATCACAAGTACAGCCAAAACAGAGGGTGCAGAGGACAGTTTCTGTACCTAGTGGGTGTCTTCAAAATTTGTGTATTCTTATTAATTTATTTTAAACTTGTTGGTTAATGTGTCTGATCTTGTATTAGTTTATTTGTAAACTTGTTGGTTAATGTGTCTGATCTCGTATTAGTTTATTTGTAAACTTGTTGGTTAA